CCAACAAATGACGGCAGGTTCAAGCTGTCATACCGATCACTAGAGCCTTGCACGCCAAGACCAAGCATGCAACCGTAGTGACAACTGCAGCTTTAAAGGTGATTTGTGACTGTGGATTACTGGACAACTCTGACAAGTATGAACCCCGAAGCGCAAGAGCAGAGGCCAGGACTAGCTTGGCGAAGACCCGACGGGCTGCGTCTTCGATGTCCGCGAACTTGCCCTCCATCCGCATAAAGAACCTCGAAGCTTGCGACGCCGCAACATGATTGTCCGAGAGAAGACCGCTCATTGGGGCGTAAGGGTTAGCATATATGACTCGCCCCAGCTGGAGTCGTGTTCAAAGTCAAGCTGCAAAGGAAATCTAGCCCCCAGGCTATCGACCGAAATGACAACAGCCAGGATACTAGTTCTAAGTGCGACAGTAGAGGCCCATTGCTGCCATTCACCCAGCTTACCGCCAGTAGCCATGTACGACCCGATCCGGTTCGAGCTGCATGGTTGTAGAGGAGTTCTGCAGCGCTCGGAAAAGCTCGGGCGCGCGGCTGACTTTGACCAACCAGGCCTGGGAATGAGCTCCCTAGTGTTCTCAGAATGACCATATTGTTGCTTTGGTTCTGAAGTGATCATCGCTGACATTGTGCATCGCCTGCGTCGGCATCATCGTCACTACCGCGGAAACATCTTCAATCTTGCCAAGCTGCCACTATTGTGTCGGCTTCGATCCGAACTCCGCGGAAATCACAACTAACAAACCGCGACAGCCCCAAACCCGACCGCTTGCCACAAAGCCATCAAAGCCCTGTGCATATTAGACTGCCGCCTCGAATTCCCGAGTGCCTCGATACTCAATAGGAGATGTGCACGTAAAGTCCTGCATAATATAGGGGCCGTAACAAACAACAGTTGAATCGGCTGTGGGGTGTATGGATTGGTAAGATGTAGGTATATATGTATATTTATTCATGCCACTCGAGTCTTGCCCGAGAGCCCTGAGCCTCTCGCTGCAGGTGCTTGGGTGCGCAGGACGTTGGACGTGGACTGAAGCCGCGAGACCGTGACCTTCTGCCCTGCAGGGAATGGCGCGGGGGCTGCTGCGTTGTGCAGTCGGAGCCGGGTTTGGCCGTTCAGAACCTCCTTCGAGATACAGTCTAGTGTCTTCGCACATCGTAGCATGCAGAAGAAGAACACAGGTGCTGCACTCAGTCCTGAAACCGTAACCCCTGTGCTTTTCTGTCGCCTTTGCCATAGGCTTTTCGAAGGTGCTCCGCCGTGAGCTTTTCGAAGGCGTGTGGGTCCTCTCGCATCACTGGTCCGAAGCTAATGCACATTCATCCTTCTGGTAGCTTCCGACTTGCAAAGCTCTCGGGGCATGGCCCGGATTGCATGAAGGTACGCTCCGAGGGCAGAAAGCTTGCAGCATCGCCTGGAGCAGTGGGAGCACAGGCGTCTGCTGAAGCGTCTGGGTCAGCTGATTGGGCTGCTCCTGGCGTCTCTGACGGTTTACGCTCTCACAACTCGGACGGTTTAGGGTTTCGGGTTGAGGGTCTCTTATGCTCCGACATGAACAGGTTTTCACTTCCGTTTAGTATCAAGAAACCGCCCACTAGCAGCCTCATGCCCCAAGAAACTCCAGAATACTCCAGCGGGCTAACCCTGACCCTGTGCATGTGTAGATGTCCCCATAAGCCCTTCAAACAATCTGTTTGCCAGTAGCTGCGGATACTTCTAGTTGTGCCGCTACTGACATAGCGACCGTTGTTTCAACACTGTGGCTCATCCTGTGCGATACCGCAACGATAGATGTCGTTCCCATGCGAAACGACGATTGCATGACTCTACTTATCTCTGCCGTGATGACCCCCGCTGCCCGAAAGCCTGACTCTTGAGGCGAGATGAATGGGAAGGAATGCCCCGAAACATGCAATTTAGTGGTCGTTGTTGCCCTTGGCCATTTATGCTGATTTCAGGGCTCGAGGATTCGTGCGAGTGGAGTTCCATGATCATTCTGTGGGTACTCTGCTGCCGACGTCCTCGAGGCAAGCAAAGTCTGCAACGCGCTCCAGGGCAGCAAGCTCGAAGGCATTAACCTCGCGCAGCTTCCGGGGTCCCCTTTTACAGGTCTAAACACCGCCCACAGTACAGAGTCAGCGCATGTTCAGGATCGAGACGCTTAAGCCGTCACTTGTCAGTGCAGCGACATATTTTTTATGGACGGGCAAGCCGAGATAAACTTCCCTGTTTGATATCGGCCAAGCAGAAGCTATTCTCCTGAGGCCTCGTGTAATCAGGACATGTATATAACTGTGCATGCATGTTCAAGCCATTACTGGGGTCGTGGGGTTAAAGCTCGCCAATAGTCCCGGGGCTTTCACGGTGGATGCTTGTACGGCTTCGGGCCAACAAAACCCCTAAACCTTTGTTACCAAAGACTTTGCAGCCCTGAAGCAAGGACGTCTGACTCGAAGTTTAAGGCCAACTTGCTGCGCAGGAAAGAGAACTCTAAGATCTTCTTGAGAGCGTTGCCTGGAGCTTTCAGGAGAACTTTGCGGCACTCACTCTCGGACTAGCCGACTAGCCACACCACCAAGGTCCGCATGTCTCTCGGGAAATGATGACTTATTTGCAGCAGGCCTCGTTGTCCAGCAGCCCGGTTACAGCAAGAGCCCCCCCCTTTGCCCCGCTTCTCCAAAGCAAGGAGAGGAGTCGAGCTGACACTACAGTAGCTACTGTAACACCGTACTTTCAGAAACACAGAACCTCCCATTCCTTCGAGTGAGATGGGTCGATGTTCGACGGAACATTCAGACATCAACAACCGCGACAGCAGCACCAGAAATAACGACGACAAGACTGGCAGCACCATGATTGCTAAGTTTCTCGCTTGCACAGTTTGGGGAAAGTACAGACGTTCATGACGAAAAGTCACCTTGTTACATGTTCCTAGGACTGCTCACGGTCTCTGCCAGGTCGCAGAACAAAAGGAGCAGGATGCAAACGCAGGGCCGGGCCAGGAGGATCCGAGTCTCCTGCAACGGCTTTTTTGTGACCGGGGGGGGCTCAGGCTTTAGGGTTTTTTTGTCACTCACACTCGGACAAAGCCTGGCAAGGTCTGCAGCGGTACTGGTCTGACTGGTTAACAAGGCGTTCTGGTTTGTCACCAAAATGCCAGATTGGACCTATCCGACCGGTTTTCGTCAGACAAGTCTTTACGCTGTCAGACACGTTCTCCTTTAGCGTTTAGGGTTCGGGGGGGTTCAGGATATCCAAGGGTTTAGGATCAGGATCAGAGGTCCTGCTTAGCAGGGAGGGTTTTAGGGCTTTGCGTTTTTTCAGGGTCTCGGTTTGGCGCTTGGCGCTGTCAAGCTTTGCGTTTGGAGGCCAGGAACCTGGTTTTTCAACCGAGCAAAGCAAGTGGCAGGTCCGTCGGCATACGACTCCGGACGGCCTAGGGCCTCCAAGTCGGAAAAGCTCACCTAATACCGCATCAGCATTTAGGTTTATTCCTTCTCGCATGTTTGGGATCAAAGCCCATTCGTGAGGTTGAATCGGATGTACAAAGATACGACAGGCTCTGGGATTGAACTTTCGGGTTGAGGGTCTTGGTCCATTGTTGATTGCGCTCACTGCCAGAGTGCTGGCAGACCGATGCAGGCAGCAGATCCAACACTTGGCAGCAACAAGGTTGGAGCAACTGCGCGCTTGCAGTCCCAACGACAGACCACATGCATGTATCGTCTGTCCGCACTAGTAATCCCGTCGGCCTTGCTTAACAAACACGCAGACATGGTGATGTTTTCTGACAGAAACAGGCCAGAATATCGAAATTGAAAAGCGGGTCCCAGAATCGAACATGATCCAAAAAGTTAAAACATGGTTAACACAAGTATGACTCACTGAATGACATACATTTCTATGACATGAATACAAACGCAACGTAGAAGCAAGCCAGATTCTGTCCCATGATGTCTTTGTAGGAACGGGGTTCGCCAGAACTTATAATGTATAATCCCAACAGTAGCCGGCTGAGTCCTGTGGCGGACTCCACCACGAGAAGTTCACCGCCCATGCGCAAATCACGGAGCAAGCTGCGCGCTCCTCCTTAAAGAGAATTCCATTCCTGGGGTCAAGGACTCGCACGACTCAGAACCAGCAGTCGTCGTAAACGACAGTACTAGAAGCTCTGGAAGACCCCACCATTGATGAGTTCAAGCCAGGTCTCAGATACAGAACCATCTCCGCCTTTCGCAGCGGTTTGGGGCGTCGGGTGTTGGCTTCGTTTTTCTTTTCCTTCGGTCTATGGGTTCAGGCAGTTTCTAAAAATGGGCGACCCCCAGTGTAGATCCTGAGTGATGTACTAGGATCTCGAGAAACCGGTTTTAGCAATCCTCCTCTGGGTTCTCGGAACTCTGCGCGGGCGAAACTAGGCGACGCACATAGCAGCATCTAATTGAATCAAGAAGGGGGCAGGACCCACCAGGCAAACGCAACCGAGAGGCATCTCTCCACCCAGACGAAGGACGGGCGAGGGCAACAAACACAAAGAAAGAATCACGACAACAAACAATCAGCAGATGCCCTAAACCCCAACCCCATCCAGGCCTCTTCGAACTGCCGAATACCCCCAAGAGATCGAACCAAGAAAGTCTCACGAATCGTGGCACCATGCATGTTGCACACCCTAAACCCCTAAACCCTAAACCTGTCCCCCTCTGTGCCTTTCGCAAGCCCCTTCTCCGGGCAAAGCGCAAAGCCAGCATGGTCAGTACTTGGAAGAGGAAGCCGAGAATGAGATAGCCTCGATGTGTCATCGCAGACTCCAACATACCTTCATTGAGATATGCGTAGGGTTCCTATAATTGCTTCCTAGAAGGGATCTACAGGGTTCTGGGTTTGGGGGACTCCAATATCCTAATTCAGGAATGCACCTTAGATTCTAGTAGGATCCTTAATATGATTTCAGGTATATTCCTTTTTTACGGATCTTGGAGTCTCCGGGTTCATGAGAGAAAGAAGATTGTAAGTTTCGGCTGCTGTCATCGAATGTGCTCGGGCTCCGGCTTTCTACACCTTAAGAACTACAGTGCTTACAAGATTCATTGATCTCTGTGGGGTAAGATGGGGTTCACATGCCGGTGCTGGCGTCTTCGATTTCCTTCGGACCTCCTGTTGTTCACGCAGCTTCTCAAGTGGAACCTTAAGCGAGGTGAGCCCCGTGAATCCTTATTGTGATCAGTGTTAACATAATATGAAGGCTTCAAAACGAAGTGCTGCTAATCATGGGGCTAACCTGACCAGGCACACAAGCCTGACCACGGAAACCCGGCTCTTGCACATCTCCGAGCCAATCTCAGAAACTGCAAAGTCAGCCTGAAGACGCCATGAAGCGGCATCCTGAAATTCCAGCGAGCGGCTGAGACTCGCAGCGGACGCATGTGTCAGCAGAGTCCGAGCTTGCCTTCGTGTGCTGTCTATGCCATACTATGCAAAGATGTGCTTGTCCAAACACACTTATATATTGTCCTGCAAAACTCCTACTACTTCTTAGCCCTTGGCCAAAAAGGAAAATAGTATCTAGTCTTTACGCATTTCTGTGACAGCCTTACCACTGCACACGAACAATCCACAAGTATGATAGATGATAGACAATGAAGCGCTGTATTTTGCGGCATTTCGAGGTTCCTGAACACGTTCGGTTGCAAATGACGCAACAACGAAAGAACCGTCAAATACAACGCTTCCCGATTCTTGACCCCTGAAGTGTCTGCCGATCAATTAGCAACACGACGTCTGGTGGAGGCGGCATTTGCAGTGGTAGTGGTCGTCGTAGTAGCAGTAGAAGAGTAGTAGTGGCAGCAGTAGCAGTAGCGGTTGTAGTAGTAGTCGTTGTAAGAGCAGTAGTAGTACAGTAGTAGCAGCAGCCATGGAAGTGGCAGCAGTAGTAGTCGTCGTCGTAGTCGTTGTAGCAGTAGCAGCAGTAGTAGCAGTAGCAGTAGCAGTAGAAGTGGTAGCATTGGATTAATCATCATTGGTAGTAGTGGTATGTAGTGGTAGTAGTAGTAGTAGTAGTAGTAGTAGTAGTAGTAGTAGTAGTAGTAGTAGTAGTAGTAGTAGTAGTAGTAGTAGTGTAGTAGTAGTAGTAGTAGTAGTAGTAGTAGTAGTAGTAGTAGTAGTAGTAGTAGTAGTAGTAGTAGTAGTAGTAGTATTGGCACTAGGGGTCGGAGTTGGACTGCGAGTGGTAAGTAGGAGGGGGAAGAGAAGGAGCGGGGGTGGCCTTGTTGTCGCAAGTTTTGAGTCTTTCTGGTTATATTTAGTTATGATGTTGGTGATGTCGAATAATTCCTTTCGGACAGGCAATATAGGACAAAATGGCGCAGTCATTGTCGCTACTCCAGCTTATTTGTCGGCTTCCGATCAAGCCTGTCAAATCCAAGCCTCTAAGGCCCTGCTAACACTCAACAAACACCCTCGACCCCCAAAGACGAGCTGCTCATGTGGCGTTATATGATGGAAACGCCCATTCTTCATCTTCTTCGGCTCCGCTGTCAGCGTGAAGAGCTGGGCCCAAATTGACGGCTTCGGGTGAGAATGGTTCGCACAATGAGCAACGAACAACCGCTGAAAGGCGGAAAGCAGAGAGCGCGGCCCTCGCACAGCAGCAACAGCAACCACAAACAGCCAACCAACCAACAGCAACCGCAACCGCCACCGCGACAGCAACAGCAACCGCAGCACCACCACCAACAACAACAGCAACAGCAACAGCAACAGCAACAGCAACAGCAACAGCAACAGCAACAGCAACAACATCAGCAACAACATCAACAACAACAACAACAACAACAACAACAACAACAACAACAACAACAACAACAACAACAACAACAACAACAACAACAACAACAACAACAACAACAACAACAACAACAACAACAACAACAACAACAACAACAACAACAACAACAACAACAACAACAACAACAACAACAACAACAACAACAACAACAACAGTAACAATGCCAGCAACGACGCCAGCAACAAAGTCAGCAACAACAATAGCAACAACCAACAACCAGCAACCGCAACCACAACAACAGCAAGAAGAAGAACGAGAACCATAACAAGAACAAGACGAATTAGACGAACTACAACAACCACAACAACCACAGCAACCGCAAGAGCAAGAGCAACAGTGCAGCAACAGCAAACGCAACCACAGAGAAAAACAACAACAAGGTAGCAAAGGAAGACGAACACACTCACCAAGGAAGGCGCATAGGAAAAGCAAGCAGCTGCGAACCAAGCAGGATCACAGATAGTACAGAGACAACAGGAACTGCAACTACAGACGTGCCAGAGGTGGGAACCCACTTTGACGTACACACCAATCATTAAACACCACCGACAAGAACCGTCAGGAAACACGTGTTTGCCCTCCTGCCTCCCGTTCTACTACGACTATGACCATCATCATGACAATCGTTATCAGTACCGTCACCGTCATCTATGAAGCCAACAGGCCAGAAAGGGGCCGAGAAGAATCACGGTCTTGAAAATCCTGCAGAAAGTTACGGTTGCGAGGCGCGACCCCTGCATACTCACTACACTCCAACTGCTTGTAAGGCCAGACACGGGTTTAGCGTAGGGAAGCCAGACAGTGTGCCCGGGGCTAGACTATTCCACCAGACATTCAACCGAGGCTGGTCAAAGTCTCTTTTATTGCAGGTGATAGGTCTTCTACAATCAGCTGCGTGTTCTGCAGATGCCGTGTTACAGCAGAGGCCAAACTTGTTTTTTGCCGTCTCTGGATCCGAGAGTCACATGAAACATCCTTCCTGTGTAATAGAGGGGCCTTCATGATTAGAATAGGGCTTTGAGGCCCATTATGCCAAAATTATAATAAGGAAGCCCCCAAAGAGTATTGGTCATTATTTCTATGGTAGACGGTGTCCTCCAGGGTCGGATGGCAGCCTGCGCGGCTGCCTGCAGGCCGTCCCAGGATAAGTCATCGTCGATGTGTTCCAAGTATTCGAACCTCGGCCGAGCCCGTCCAAAGGAACATGGCAATGTGGTGCAGGACTAGAAGATTTTATTGCTTGGGCAGTTCTCAACAAGCAGAGGTCACGTTTCGAGCTGCATGCGAGGAAGGGTGACCCAATATCACTCACAGAGAACAGGCGACTTAGTCGCAACCTGTATTTCTGAGAGCCGTCACTGAGATGAGCTGGCCTCCTGGAAGTGCAGGTTGTGAAACATATACTAAAATCTATAAAAAGCAACTACCGAAACAAGGTGTAAAAACCAAGCATGCTCCGAATGGCACATGCTCGCGGTGCCACAGGTGGCACAAAAAGGTCTAAATGCCGCTGTATACTGGAGAACGATTAAACGAACACTTTGCGTCGTGGAACTTGTGGGAAAGCAAGGTTGGCTGACACTGTGAGTGGTGCTCTGGTTTGGGAAGTTAGATATCTGCAAAATAGTTAGTTGCGGAGTTCCCTTCGGATGTTGTCGTCAGCAAGCTCTTGCAGCCGAGACCACGCCGCACGTCTCATCAGCCCTGAGTGCAGCCTGTTTTGGCCAGCTCAGAGATACTCTTGCACATAGCCTCCACTGCCATCCAACAAGGATGCCACAAGCTCACAGGGCTCTCGGTCTTCCTTCTGGAGCGCCTGGAGAAGAAAAGCCGGGAGCGACTGCTCCTGAGCGAAGTCGAGGGCGGTCCAGCCACGCGCGGTGCGGAGATCAAGCTGCGCCCTTGCTGCAATCAGGACTGCAGCACCATCATGCTGCCCTGCCATGATGGCAGACATTAGAGGGGTCCTGCCCTCCCAATGGAAACACGAAGCCGTGAGTGGCGTGACTTTGCCGAGTCGATGCAGAAGAGACATGATGCCCACAGCCATCCCCATGCCGCTTGACAAGGGTGGAGCGGCCGGCCTCTGTGCGTTCACATCTGCCCTTAGCTCAATCAACCGCTGTGCCAGCGCCCCGTGCCCTCGGAGGATCATGCTGTCATCAAGTGCGCAAGACAGAGTCAATGGGTCCAGAGCCTCAGAGTCTATCCGACTTGCCAGCTCTTCGAAGGCTGCCAAAGAGCCAAACATGCAGGCGATACTCGTCATGCTGTTCCCAAAGCTGTCCCTGGCAAGTGGGCTGCAGCCAGCCTCGCAGAGCATTCGAACGCCCTCCGCATTGTCGCCCATGCATGCAGAGGCCAGCGCCCATCTGCTGTGAGGCGATGCTTTCGCAAGCATAAGCAGGCGACCCGCCTCGTTGTTACGATGTAAAAGGCAAATATCCAGAGGTTCAACTCCGGCCACGGTGGTTCCGTGGTTGGGGTTGGCTTTTCGGGTCTTGCAGCCCGGATCAGCGCGTTGCTCGAGGAGGCCTTGGATCAAGAGCGGCTCGCCGCGAAGTGCCGCATAGTGCAAAGGCGACCATCCACAGCCATCGATGTCCGACACAGACTCGAAGCCATTCTGAAACAAAAACTCGGCGACTGCATGGGATGCCGGGTCCGAGCTGCTGGGTTCAGCCCCTTCGTCTTGGAAGAGGCAGTAGTTGGGCTGCACCATGAATCCTCTGAGCAAAACTGGTTGAAGGTTCAACAGCACTCGGTAACCACCTAGATCACGTGCCCGCAGAAGCATCAACAACTTCTCGTGCAATGCCTTCTGGATAACTGGGCCCAACTTCATTTTGTCAGACTCCAGCGTGAAATTGCATTCACCCGGGCCACGGGCCATAGAGCCGTAGTGCATGACAGACGAAACGACCGTAAGCTGTGTCTGGCTTTTGATCACGATACACGCCGCCTCTTCCGAAAGCTCTCGGCAAAGTCTCTCCACAAGACACCATCCTCTCTCAGCCCAAGACACTTCCGTAAAGACTGCACCCAGGTCTGTGTTTTCAATCACCGGAGCAAGGACAAAGAAAAAAGCACACCTCAGCATTCTTCGCAACTGACTCTTGAGATTCCTAGTGACCGTACACATCTTGGTTGCCTAATATAGGGGCCTTGATAACGAGAATTGGGTTTTGGGGCCCATTATACCATACTTATAATAAGGAACCCCTGACTTAGCATGGTCATTATTGAGCCCCTCTTGTTTTGCGGGGGCCCTCGGCCACGGTATCCTGACCCTCCCCACCTGGCAACGTATGCCGGGATTGAGTCGACAGCCTTGTGGAAGTTATCGCTCTTTTCCATCTGCGGGCAGGAGAAGTAGTCATACCAGAAGAAGAGAGGCTCGGAGTTCAGCCCAGAAGAAGGCATTCCTGGAAGTCTGCGCAACCCGACATCCCTAAACTCCGGAGACATTATGTTAATGCCCAAAGCCCCAAACACTAGAACTAACACCCATAGATAGACCCGACAGTAACAACCCCTCAAACGACCCAATAATGCGCAGTCTTAAGGATTGGGCCACGAGTCCATGCCCACATCGAAACATCTCGGCGTGAGCATCTTGATACAGGTGAGGCATCTCGGCCATCATGTGCCTTCTCAGGGCTAATACAAGGGGCCTTAATGATCAGAAGGGGGATTTTCGGGTACTTTGCACCATAGCCATAATAAGGAACCTCCACAATACAAGTGGTCATGATTTAGGCACCTATAAAGTAGGTTTACGGTTTCGGCCCTCGCAAGTCGCACAAGGCAGGCAGGGTGCCCGCTCCAGTCGACGCTTATAGTTTAGGACGGTTTAGGGCTCTGAGGAAGTTGAAGGTCGACATCGACGTCGGGGTTTCTCAAGAAGGAACTTAAGACATAACGCGCCCGAAACAAGAAAATCCAGCAACCTGTGCACTGATTACATACCGTTAGATAACTTGCTTTTCGTTCGGAAGCCTTCACTTCTATCAATGTTTGATACGCTGTGCCAGGGGGAAACCTGTGTCTGCCGTGCTCGCGGACGCAACATGTTGAGCCTTCCTAGAACCCTACCTGCAGCTCCCAGAAAAAGCCCCTATCAAGCGATCCTGCCTCAAAGCGTCCTGTAGCACTGACATCTGCCGGAACTCGGGATCCGGATGACTTTCTCCGACCCACTGGTGCGAGATGAACGCGGCCTTCCCCATGCTCCTCTCGAAGAGGACCAAGGCGCCCTTCTCCTTCCGGACTCTCAACCGCAAGGTTTCACGGGTAACTAAGTACCCACAGAATGTACCTCGGCTATCTGGGTGTGTACACCCTCAGACACCGATACCCAACCCACCGACCTTGAGCTCTTCGTGGACAGAAAGCTTTGTCATCCGCAACAAAGCTTCCATAGGCAAGGTGTACATCGGGAATAACGTCGGAGATGCATCTGCCGGCCAGATTGCCAGGAACGGAGAAGGTACATGAACATGAAGCACTCCGAAACAGTACCACATGACTACCACGACTAGGCATCCTGCTGCCACTACTACTACCGCTGCCGCTGCAGTCACCGCAACCGTGAAAGCTTTCCCGCCGCCTTCATGACGTTCTTGTTGCAGCCGCTTCACAAACTGCTCCAGCGAGGTGGGGCGTCTACGTGGCCGACAAAGGGAAGCCATGCTTTATAAGGGCTGCTAATTGCACTTGAACCATGTATCTTGCCCGAACCGCAGTCCAGCAACATGCTGGAAGAAGGTCATGTCTTCGGAAGGCTGGGAGGTTCCTTTGCACCTAGATTCATTAGACAAGGGGTGCCAAACCACGAAAGGAAAGACCGGCTGCTTCTTCAAAGGAGTACCGCATTTCTGAAGCATGTAACCGTCGGCCCAAGCGATTTGAATCATGGCTGTTTCTCTCTCGCGCTCTCTCTCTCACACGGACTCGAGTCAATCATGCCGCGAAATATGGCTATACGGTCCAACCAGTAACCAACCGAGTTCTCCTACGCAACCATTTGTGACATAAAGGCAATCATTAGGCGAGGCATCCAAAGCACCCTACACTCCAAAAGCTCCATCGGCTCACAAACCGGACCTGCAATGAAGCTCTCTTATGAGTACACTCGGCTTCCGCCGCTTCCGTTTTACTGCTATACTGCTCGCACGATCATTGCCTTCCTCTTGCTTGAAATTGCGGTCGTCTCTGTTCATGCTGCCTCATACGAGTACTCATACTGTCTGTTGTTGCAATTTGTTGCTGGAAATGCCTGAGGCTTCCACATGGAGGCCACTCTCTGCGCCTCGTCGAAATCTCGCCTGGGCGGGGGCTGGGAGGTTCTCAAGTGCGCCAGCCATGTCCAGGCCCAGGACCCCTCGGAGACATCTGCTATGCCCAGAAGATCAGACCCCTGCACCCAAAAGTCCAATATCTTCTCCCCTGTTTCCTGCTCAGATCAACTTATAATCCCGAGACGGGACTTGTTTTTGTCACCCACCTGGCACACCTATGACAGCGGGACTTGTACGTGCGGTGGTCTTGTTGGGGGTTGCGTTGAAGTCCTTGGAAGCCTGGGGTAATATAGGGGCCTTAATAATTAGAACAGGGTTTCGGGGCCCATTATAATACAATATCTATAACAAAGCGGAACCCCAAAAATAGTTTAAGCAATTATAAAGGCCCCTATACTACCGACACTCCAAACAGACGCGCCTCCGGCTCCGCACGTGGAAAGAAGCATTTCTCTTGTCAGGACTTCACCAAAATCGCTGCGGACTTCTAGCTCAATGGTGACCCTGCTACAGTACAACTGTGGCGGTGAACTGGCGACCAATCGCCGGACCTGAATCGTGAAACCTCATGAGCCAAAACAATTCCTCAAACAAAGACTGCCACCAGGAAAGACGAAGCACTTGATCTGCTGCCGGGGTTGGACATATTGCGAAGCCCGGATGCCTCCTCTGCGAAGGAGCTCGGACGGATTCACTTGAACACCAACTAAACAAGCCCAGTACTGCTCGAATGATGTGTCCCTCAAGGGAGTGCGCATCAAAAACAATGGCTTGGGATGGAGGGGAAGTTGAGAATCAGGAACTCACAGTCCAAGCCGGGGATGGACTACGCATCTTCGGTTCGGGTTGCTACTCTGAAATCCCAAGCCATTCTAATAGAAGGGTTCCTGCGAGGGGTATGCATCTTAAGGAGCGCCTATGACGGTTAGTATATGTCGTCTTCCTGATAGCAGCAGGGACTGCAGCGGAAGCTACGAGGTTCCGGTCGGTGACTGGGTGGCTGCGATGGCTTCGGCTTTTTCTCCCCAGGGTTTAAGATGGAACTGCTCCATATCGGAGCATGTAAGGATGCTACGTTCTTGTACTTTAGCCCACTGTCCCTTCTTCGCTTCGGCCATTTATTCAACCCCGTTAATAACAACACTGCTTTGGGGTCATCCTCCCGAAATCATCCTCGCCCTTTGAACCCTAACATGCCTGAGGAGTGTCCGGAGCAAGAGGAGGAGGAGCAAGAGTAAGGGCAAAGGGAAAAGAAAGGAGCAAAAGCAAGAGCAAGAGCAGGAGCAAAGGCAGGAGCAAAAGTAAGAGCAAAAGCAGGAAGAAGAGCAGGAGCAACAGCATGCAGGAGCGAGAACAGGAGACGAAGCAGGAGCAGGCGCAAACGCCGCACGGGAACAAGAGCAAGATCCCTCGAAGCGAGAGTAGAAAGAAAAAGAAAAATACCCCCTGATAATAAAATTGCTTTCCGAGTTGTTCTTGGGGCTTGGGCCCCCCGGGCCCCTGCAGGAGGAAGGGATTATGTGTAAGTGCAATTAGGCTTTTCTGCATTACCAGCTCTTCTTGTTCTCGATGCTGATGTTCTGCCTTGCGTGAGTACTTTAGGCTTGAATACTAGTGAATACATTCACAACATTACATTAGCAGATTACTAAATAATACTTACTAAAATTTAGTATTTCATACTATGCAGCACGACTCTCTACTACAGACCTATACAGCATCTCCTGGCAATCCGGGCTTGCCATTGCTCCAGGTATGCTCTGCCCAGGCATCCGCCAGCGTCTTGTTCCGGAGTGGGGAGTAAGGACCATTCTCCTTACAGATTCAAGCTTAGGGTTTCTCTTGCTCAGATCGGGTTGAAAAACCAATCGAATCCGTTCATGGGTTATGGCCCCTGGGTTTCGAGTTCTGCGATGAGGTTGGGGGGGTCTTACAGGGTTAGCTTTCGGATCTAGGGAGGTTCAGGCTTAGGGCAGCTGGTAGCAATGCCACTGCTGTAGCAATATCCGTGGTCATCGAGGTCCGCAGTTGTGACAGTGGGCAAAGAGCTAACTAAGCGCAGTACGAGTGGCCATTGCAGAATATCAACACAGCATTCTTGGGCAACCAACACCGGATGCAGACTACTATTGGTTTGACCCGGGCGCGCACGTCGGCAAAGAGCCAGCATCCTACATCCCACTTTTCCACCATGACTGTTCGTGAACATTCGTAATGTAAGCCCGCTCTCGAGTAAGCATTTACTTCACTGCTTTTCACACACACTTAGCTGACCAGGTCGCGCTGCAGGGAACACACTCACTATTTGGGGCATCGGGTGGGCGTCAGGACCTCTCACCTTGCAAGTACTTGCCAAGTTTCCGACGGAACGAATCAGAGCGCTTGTAGTCCATAAAACTCTAACCTTCCGGCGGGCCACCTTTACGGCCAACCTCACGTTATGTTGATCTCGATGGTATCCGCTTGCGGTCCCTGTATATACTTGTACTTCAACGGTTCAACATTACCTCCCGCCTGAAACCGATGTGGAGAAATTAAGTGTCCAATTAAGGCCCCTACGCATGCAGTGCCCGATGGAAAACCTTCATACAGTGAGGCTCCATAAGGGTTCTTCTAGACTGGGGCCATCAGGGCTCTAAGAAGTGGTCCATACAGGATAAGGTCTTAGGCATTAGGCTATATCTACTGTGATTATAATAAGGAGCCCCCTCAATAGTCTTTGTAATCATTTAAGCTCCTATATTACTCACCACCGAAGTCTCAATGTCGGCGGACTTCGCATTGGAGGATCCCATGGCACCTAAGCCTCATGGCCAAATGCACTGCCGTGCCTCCAAGGGTAAA